GTTTCTGGAGGAGATTTACGTAGGCGCTCTATTCTTCGAGGAATAAAAATAATTTGCAAAAATACTTCTTCCTGTCTTTTGACATTGTCTTCAAAAAGAAGGAACATAAAAATGTTAAAGCCTATGTAGTTGTATTTTTACCAACTCAGAGGAAATCATTAAGAAGTAAATTTAATTGCGGAGTTTTTCTCTAATGGAGGAATTCTAATTTTTAGTTTCAATGGAAGGATCGAGTAATTAAGTAGTAATCAAGGAATTATAATTTTTAGTTTCAGTGGAAGAATCGAGTAATTAAGTAGTAATCAAGGAATTCTAGTTTTTAATTTCAATGGAATCGCTCTTTAATTATAATCTCTAGGAGTTTTTAATACCACAAGAATCACTCACTTTATTCTTATACCATAAAGAGCAAGAAAAAAAATGTTTGAATTAATTATTATCAAAGACTGCAAACAAGTCTATTTCTGTGTTTTCTCCCAGAGGCATATGCTTTGAATTTTGTGGAAATTTGCATAACGAATACGTGCATTAACCTTTTGCGGCACAGTGTGTCCGGTCTGGACACACCTAAAAATTTCCTTCTGTGCGCACAGAAAAATTGAATGAAAAAGGACTTATAGGTTACTCTGAACCTTCTTTACAGTAGATGGCAGCTCAACACAAACCAGTCCATATATTTTAGCCATGTTTAGTTTTTTAAGACCCTCATTTTTCAAAGAAATCTTCCAGATTTTTTTAGGGCATAAAAGAAATTTTTCGAAAAGAAATTTATATGTTATTTTTTGGCTGTATGCTAATTTCTTCATTCTATATTAGTTTTAAATTTTTACCTTGAAATTTTGCCTAAAATCAAAGGGCGAACCCTAGGTGTGCCCAGACCGAGCTCACCGACAATCTAGGACAACTGAGAGTCTGTATTCTTTGTTTCTCCGCATCTCATCGGTCAGTTCATTGACAACAATGCTCGTTTCAGCACTCTTTTCGAAGCTCTAATTAATCAGTTGTGTACTTCTCTAGGCCTAATTAGATTGCCTACCCCCTTTTTTTTTTTTTTTTTTTTTTTTTTTTTCAAAACTCCAACTTTAAAATGTAGCGTGCCGGAAAGGGTTAATATACTTTAAAATTTTACGGATCTTCAGAAGTATATTGTAAGGGAAATATTCAAGACTGAATGTAAATATTTTAGATTAAAATTGATCTAAAATTAATTTATTAAATTAATTTCCTATAATCTCACAAATTGAATAAAATATTGCGCAGACTGGCAATGTATATTTCCTGAAGTAATGCCATAAGTTAAGTATACATACAAAAGCAAACTTACTCCACTACCTTTGGAGTTGCCAAGAAAACTCTAATTTCATAAATCTTTAGTTAAATTCTTGAGTTTCCATTAATTGATGGAACCTGCTTCTGGGATCTAAGAAGCGAATGTAACCATAGAAATATTTAATTTTGACTGAAACACATCATTATTACAGAATACATATCTTTTTTATGTATGTGTTTTTATGCCTTCATTACACAACATACTGAATTACTTAAAAGCTGCTCAGTAGCAAACCTTTCAGCTTCATTCTTTTATCTACTGTAATTAGCATGTAGAAAATGTTAAATTTTTCATTACGTTTTAACTGACTTTTGATTCAAATTATGAAACAGACAGAAATTTTAACACAAATTTTTCCTTGTAAAATCACTGGATTAATTGAATATCCATTTAAAATCCACAAAAGCAATGTGCGTAAAACCCATTTCTTCTAATTAGTTATTAACTGTTCAGAGCTACAGATTTTTAACCTTTTTAAGAGTAAATGTGTTTTATTGTAAAATGGAGCGTTTAATTTGCTAAAACTATGCGATTTAAGTTTTAAAGCATTCACGATGTTTGTGGCAAACCGAATAGGTAAAATGCATGACCTACACTAAAATAATTCTTAAATGATAACTAGGCATTTACCTTGTTAAGATTCTAACTAAATTGCAGTTACTTTGCTAGCTAGATCTTTACTTTAACTGCGAAGCTATTATTCACTAATTTCAAATTGTATCAATAACAAGACGTAGGAAGTGTTGAAAAGACCCCTTTATTCAACTTAAGAAGTAACTTACAAACACCACTCCCGCTGCTTACAAACTTATCTAATACTTTTGGTTAAAACTCAAAATAGAAATATAAAATTAAAACTAAGTTAAATAATCAGCCAAAGCTGCATGGATATAATTAACGCGAGTTGGCCTACAAACCGGCAATTAATATGCACCTCAGTAAAATAGCAAGCTTAAATCAGAGAAACAACGTGGCCGAATGGCAGAAGAAGCTCTGTCTGAAGTAACACAGACACCAACGGGAAAATAACTGTTTATTCCTTGTTTTCAATTTGAATATGCAGACCCACTTTCCCGAGGCATATGCACTGCTTGCCCTGAGTGGCGATAATAATCTGTAAACACACAATATCTTTTAAAATTTTTCTTGAAAATGTCTTGTGACTAAAAGCTGCTCTGAGCTTCAGTGTCTAAAAAAGCATTAGCTGGCACCTTACTTAATAAAATTCGGATTTCCGACAAAGCCAAATTCTTGACGACCACTGTATTTAATTTAATTTTAGAGGGAGTAAGGGACAACCGTACACTCTTGTCATAGGTCCCCTAAATTAGTTTAAATTCTGTTTCTTGTGACCCTTTTTTTTTTTTCTTGCGACTTAACTCTGGCGATCGCCGGAAGTTTTCCTTTTCTAACCGTTATTTTTATTACCGCCCTTTGCGGTCGCATCCATTTGACGGTAGGGATATTGCCTATTCTGGCTAACCTGTGGACTTTGCTGTGGTGGAGATTTAGAAAAACTGTCCAGATCTCGCCTTACGCCTATATCCGCCTTACGCATACTTTAAGTCGCTCACCGGGTTTCGAACTTAATACAACATGAAATAAATCTTCGAGCGTTGTAAGATTTCTTACCTCGAAAAAGCCCTGAATTGGAAAGAGAAACCGCGGTACAATCATTTCTACCACTTAGGTGTTAGGCCGCTTGTTGTACAACATACTGAAAATTTGTATTTTCCTCAAAATAAATTCCGTCAACTCCTCAACCCTATTCTAATATTTGCTGAAAGGTTCAGCCTACAATTTAACTAGATCTTTTACCACAGGGCATGTTTTTATTAAAGCATTTTCCCAGATGTAGGTGTCACTTCCTGGCTCACCTTTCAGGAACTTGCCTTTGTACCAGCTTAAAGCTTGGCCTTTCAAATTTGTTGTAGTAATCGTAACTTTTCCAGGACAGAATATAATATCAAAAAGAACAGAATATAATATGAAATTCAAATTCCGGAACAGAATATAATATGAAATGCAAATGCAACTGTTCAGAGAACAACATAACGGAACTCTTTCCGCCAAAACTGCCAGTGGGTTTCCTCTCGAATCGCATTGTCTCGAGTATGAATCCAAATCCTCCACTGGGTTAAATTGTGCCGGTGGAACATGAAGCTTTGCAAGAATCAACGTAAATTTCTACTGTTCTCTGAAAAGGTTTGTAAATTTTTCGGACGCCAAAGTTAAGTTTCTAGCTAAATTAAAATTACTTTGATGGCTAGATCTTTAGATGAATTGTGAAGCGACTAATAAAATATAAAAGTAAAACAAAGTTAAATAATCAACAGAAGCTGCACAGAGATAATTAAAGGGGTTGTCTCTTAATATGTGCACGGCAGTAAAATAGCAAGCTTACATCAAAGAAACAACGTGCCCGAACAGCAGAACACACTTTGTCTGAAGTAACTCAGACACCAGCTTAAATAGTGTCCTTTTGCCCTGCTTTGCATATCTCACGAGAAACTGAAATATCATTCTGGCAGGAAATAGAAATGACGGAAGACAGAAAAGCTTAGTAACTGAACAAAACTGGTTAGTTTAAAAGTAAAATAACATTTCTTATAAAGTATTTATTTATCAGGGAAAACTTGATTATACTGGTCTGCCTTTTAAAAAGTACTATATGTTTTTTTAATTTTTTAAGCTGATTTTAAAATTATTTTTTTAATTTGCGTATCAAGTATTGTTGCAAATTCAAATTTTCTGTAACAACAAATATGTATTTTTTACATTGAAAAGTAACTCATTTAATATTACAGAAATAAAGAAGAGAGCATTATATGTATATAAAACCGCATTAAAAGTTTTAAATTAAAAAGGATTATGCGTATGTGCGCAAGAAATTTAACAAAATTTTAATGGAAATTTCAATTAAAAAATTATATGTGTGCAAGAAATTTAACGAGTAGAGAATTTAAATGGAAATTTCAAGGTCATTTTATAATGTAACAAAAATATCTTTTTTCTTGGTTTACGTCCAGTTTTGCTTCTTTTCCTATTTTTGTCTCTTTTCAATATTTAGTACATTCTACTAGCTTCGTTTCATAACTTAATTTGGCACTTCTTTAGCATTTCTTTAATAACCTAATGGAGCCTTTTATCTCAGAAACTGCTCAGTATTTTCTGGAAAGTACCTTATGCGTGCGAAAAAAGAGCAACTTTTGAAATTTCTTATCTACAGTATGGCACTTTCGAGAATTTCAGCAAATGAAGGAATTTAAAGGCTATAACTTATACTGAGTCTTAGCCTCTTTTTCCTTGCTTATTTCTCAAACGTGGAAGCAAGGAACTGATGGATATATTCTCATTAAAGGTCTGTATTTACGCAGACTTATTGTTATTCGAAGGCCATGAACTTTCCATAAAAGTTGCAAATACGAGATAGTCCTTTTTCCGTTTTGTTTCTCACTGTTAGCCTGAGTAGCCTTCTATGAGCTCAATCTACAATGAGCACATCCGGTAAAAGGCATTTCAAGTTTTGATTGTCCCAACTGAGTCTTCTTGTGAGTGATTAAATGATTGTGGATATGTCTAATCTGCTAACATTGTTTTAATCGATTTAAATAATTTGGATAATTGTTTGTTTATTATTAAGAAGATACAGCGGTTCTGTTGCACTTACCCGAAACGAAAGGCATTCTGAAGCTGACATACTGCACTGGGGATGGCTGGCGGTACTGTCGGGGCACACACTTATTCAGTTGATAGGCGAAAGGACTGAGATGCGAATGAATGCATTCACCTGGAACAAAGAAAAACACAATATTACGTAGTTTATTTTTTTTAATAGAAATTTCCTCTAACCGTTTCATCTGTGCATTACGACATTTGTTAAAAATGGAATTTTACGGTCATAGATAAGCACTAGCAAAACAAACATTGTTACATCGATAGCTGTATAATTTGAAAAACTGATAGGTAGGATCAAAACAGTTTATTTGAATATGAAAAAGTCACGAGAGATATCTGCCTAAAAAGAGGGATGCCTCCTTGGAAGACTTTCTGAAGGAAACTGGCTCTTATTCACGTTACACAGGGGGAAAACAACGAAAAATCGTGCAACTAGCCCGTTCGCCTGAGTTTGAACCCAAACCGGGTCGAATTTTCAGTAGCCAGCGGTCTTAACTACTCGGCCAGTAAGGAGTCTGAAAAATTGATATATTTTAAAATTTCGTTCCACTTTTAATCAGTAGTTACCCGCTTGCGCCTTGTTGAAGATTTCTTGAACAAATCGCGTTTGATGTCCCTTCATGGTCACTTTCAAAATAAAAAAGTGGCGTTTGATATCACTATATGCTTAGTTTCAGAAAATTTCTGTTAAAAATAAAAAATATGCATGACGGTATAATTTGGAAAAGCTGAAAAATGCACTGTTTTGACATCTACTCGAACCGAGAGAAACTTGACCCTTTATGAACATGATTAGCTTTCAAAATGCATCACATTAAGAATAAATGTCATTTGAAATTCCATTAACCAATCATTAAGTATCCTTATTTTTATCATTAAATATCCTTATCCTAATCATTTTAAATAATAGATTTATTCTTGCATCAGAATGAACTTTATTTCCACAAAAACACAGCTTGCAGATCTGGAAAATTATAATTCGTCTAAACGGGTTTTTTCCTTTTTTGGTGACTTATGCTCTACTTTCTTATTTTTAAACTTTTTCATTTTTAATTTAGTTGTGTTATTTTTTTATCCGTTTCAATTTTAATTTTTAATCAAAACTTTTTTTCTTTTTATTTATTGATTACCTATTTGTTTTTTCCCCCACACCTTTAAAAGTTTCTAAAATACGTCCTCAGGAGTCAGAAATCCCGAAATTTATGAGACAGAAACTCCCCAGAATTATAACTTGAAATTTTCTTAAAAGTCTTGAGATTTCTGACAGGTTTCTGGAAGAGTCGCTCATAATAATGTTACGGAATCTTTTTAGAAGGTTCCATATCGAATAGAACAGCGTTTGTTATTAAATTGTAATCGGCGCCACGAAAACATGATTACGTACAACTCTTCGAAGTTTGCTCGTTAAAAAATGGTAATGCGTTTATATGCACATTTTATTTTTGTTAGTATACATGCAACTGTTTTAAACATAAACATTTAGTTCTTACAATTTTGTGTTGCCAGATTCAAAATTCAAACCAAACTCCGAGCTTCAAAAAATTCGTGACAGTCTATTGAGAGGCCGGAACAAATGGTATACAACTTATTAAAGTATAATAGATATTTTTCTAATTGGAATGATAAGGTCACTATATAAAAAGCTATATTTTATGTTTACAAAACCCCATGAAAATATCAATTACGCATTTCTTTTGTAATTTGCCATTTAAGGTATTTAACTTTTCTCACATAGCATAACGAACAGTATTTTCCTATCTGGAAACTTACTTTAAGGTGACCATATAAAAATCACACTTTTATATTCACAGACCTCTCTCATTCATATAGTTGAAACTGTTCTCATAAAATTTTTTACCTTATTTTGTTTTAAGAAACTGTGCAGTGGACGTATGTGTCTAGAATGAATATTTGAGGAAATAAAGTCGGCAGCCATCTTTTTCGAACACTGACAGAAAAACTACGATATTCATCTCGCTCTGATGAAGAATGGCATCTTCAATTCGGAAGTTTATCCAGAGCTGTGCAATTTCCTAGCTCTGTTTTTAAAATTAGATTTTATTTTAGATCTGCGCTCTTATTTTATCAATACAGCCATTTCGGATTTCTACTGAGCTTACTGATAAAATTCCCTTCCGAAAAATTCTCTAAGTTCTCAAAAGTTTTATTTTCTTTTTCCTCAGTTATACAAAGCAGATTCAAGAAAAAAGGTAAAATAAAAAATAGGTTAATTAAATTAATAACAGATAACTGAACGGAGCATATTTTATTTTGGATAAAAAAAAATTAAAGGAACAGAACATATAAAAGGAACGGAACACATTTTACTTTTGGCTCCGGCTGAATTAAAACCCTATATGTATATAGATAAGAGATTCAATCAAAATAAAATTAATATAATTAAAAACATACATCTATGAGTAAATTGTTATTATGTTTACGCGACAAAGGGAAGTGTCCCTCATATGAGTCCGACAAAGGAAGGTGAAAGGGAATGCTGATCACACTGCTTCTTTTAATTCTACAAAATTATAAGGAGCACGAAATGCGTGTAAATTTTCATCATGTACAGAGAATAATTTTTAAATTATTTAAGAGTTCAGAAAATTTTGTATATAATGAATTTAATACGCAGAATTAAATTCGAACTTTTATTTCAACAAAAGAAATAAAAGTACACTATTCTGTTATGACTATGAAAACATTTGTGTGTGCTATCAGAAATACTCTTTTAACAGGGAATTAAAAGCAGGGTTTCAAATAATTTTGTTAAATTTTGGCTACTTCTAATTTACATATAATCTAACTTCATTTCCACTTGAAATTTCATATTTAATCATAATAATTATTATTTGAAAAATTTTTCAGTAAGTCATAACCATGTGAAAATGTGCGCTCTTTCTAAGTGGGCATTCGTCTTGTGTGTTTCTGTCATGCAGTTTTCTAACTGTCCGTTGGCTATTCCCATGGAGTAGGAAGTTAGTTCTTACCTCCATGGCTATTCCGGCGGGGAACCACTGCGTTCCTTTTCTTTTGTCCCCAGCTGAGTGAAAAAGCAGTTAAAGAGAGGACAGCCTTGCTTTATTGCTTAATTAGGAAGTCCTTTCTTACATCCATGGTTCGAACTATGGATGTATAAAAGGACTTCCTACCTCTTACCTTCCTTTAAGAGCATCTTAGACATTTTTGTTATTTACTAGAAAATAACACTATCTGAAGTTTCTCTTATAACTGAAGTTAAAAAATCTCTTTCTTGCGTTTTCTTTAGTCTATTTCTTGAATTATTTTTATCTAAAGGTTTAGCTAAAATTTCAAATATTTAAAAAATTTTCAATAACTGAAAAATGAAAGGAATAAAATATTACTGAAGATGATTTGAAAATATTTCTTAACCATTTTAGAGGGATAATTCACTATTTTAGCAGTAGAATTGCAGTGTGGAAAAATATGCTAGTACTTGATTGGAAAGTGTCTCTAACAAATTTTTGATGAACTTATTAAGCATGTAAACATGTCTATTATATCGAAGCAAAACCATTGTTTAAAAGTAAAACTATCGAGCTATTTCTAATAAATTAAAATTATTACATATATTAAACTTTACGGAAAAGGTAATACTTTTCATTTTAACTTTCGCATGCTTGAAGATGGGTTTAGCCGTTCGAATAATTTAAACAACTATTTTATTCTGAACTCCAGAACAAGAGGATTTAAGATTAAAGCTTGAAAGCAATGAGCCCAGCGTTGTAAAAAATGCAATCTTGCACATTAAAAATAAATTTTAATTTAACAAAAAATGTTATGTTACTCGATTAACTGTAAATGCTTTTTAAAAAACAATTAATTTTACTTTACCATGGTTATTTATGTACAAAAACTTCTAATGAAGCAGATATAAAGAGCATTTTGAAACTAAATTTCACTGGAATTTAGTTTCAAAAATTATTATAGCCTTAACCAAGAGGTCGTTCAGAAGAAAAATTCGGCACTTAATGTATTAAATGCTTTAAAGCATAGAATAAGAATGCAAAATGGAAAACTATTTGCCAATTATTCCAAAGCAAAATATTATTTATCCCAAGGGGAAGAATTTATATTGTATTTATAAAATTAATTACTTTTAAAGTAACTTCTTTAATCTCCGCAAGAAAGGAAACGAATTCCTCTAGATCATCCAAAATGTCACGGATGAACAAATTGCTATAGGAATATCGTCTAATTTCAACTTGTAAAGAAAGGCAGGTAACGAAAACAATTTTAAAACGATTCCGAGAAGAAACTAACTTTTCTTTAGAAAACGTTGAGTTCAAGAAAATTGATTTTCGAGAAAGCTGAACAATAGTTTATGATAAGTTTGTAGTACATAATATTTTTCTTAATGCAGATTCAAATGTTCAGTTAACCGATTACAAAAAAGCCCATGAGATTTATCAAAGACATCTCGAGTGTAACTCTCCCTCTCACGAAAGTCTCACTTGTGATGTAATGACAAACACAGATAAACACTGATAGCCAGATAAACGTTTTTGTAATCCCAACAGACTATTTGTATGCTTGTCCTCCATGAAGGCATCCCTTCATTTAAGAAGGTAGCCTTCTTGCGCTTTGCCTAAATTGATTAAGCAGTAGCAACTACAAAGTTTGGACATAAAATGAATGGAACATTTTTAACAGATAAATGCATAATATTTTGCTGACTAGTGTTTGTCTGTATGGAAGCTATAGAAAAAATTAAATTTATTTTATCAAAACTATCCCACTCTTATAGTTAACTATCTTCAAATTATTTTGGAAAAATTTTCAATGGAAGAATGTATCTCAGATCAGAATTCAAGCCAATAAAGCTAATAAATCAGCTTTAGTGTACACATATTACAAATAAAAGATACAGTGTGAAAAAAAATATGGTTTTGTGCAAATAAACTGGAAGGGTTTTCCGGAATGTCTTCAGTAGAATGACAAAGAACACTTCTTTTGTGGGTTTTATGCTGTTATTACATGTTAAATATTATTTCATTTAAATTAAGGAAAAGAAACACATATCACGTAAAAATTTATTATTTACAAATTAAGGTTATTTTCTTTACTTCGAAATCTAGTAGTATTGTTTCC